CAAATACTATGCATAACGAAAGAGGCAGAGAAGCGTCTTGAAGGAAGTATATTTGAAAAATACCGTCGAGACACGGTCGAAATACTGGGAGTCCACTTCGGCAAAAACGCAACAAACGTAGTCTGGAATAAAAAAATCAGTAAAATAACCCGAATTCTTAAGAACTCTAACTCGCGACACTTAACATGGAGAGGTAAAAAAAACAGTAATACAGTCACTCGCCCTTCCACTAACACTTATGGAAGCAAAAACAAGAGTCATACCAACGCGATACCTAAACAAAATTCAAGCCATATTTTTTTAAATATCTCTGGCATCCCGAATACTTTGAGAGTGTCGCGCGAAAAGTATTGCTCTTACCGGCAAGAAAGGGTGGAATTGGTATGGTGAATATAAAGTTGTACTCGTACGCATGCCTCTTTCAAAAGCTAGTTACTCTACTCAACACAAACAACCCAGTCATACCCCATGTCATACTATTTGACACATAGCATGTACGGAAGCTCGGGGCCGAAATCTTTGCCTTGCAATGCATGGCGATACGGAAGCCTCCTTAAGCGTATGACTGCTGCTTACGCAGCAGCATGCTTATGAAGCGTAATACTGATATAACTCGGATATGACGTGTCTTTAAGACACCGATCCGAGACTGGAAAAACTCTGATCCGCACAAAAAAAAAAAAAAAAAAAACGAAAGACATGTCTGGAAGAGGTCGCTGTGTTGATTAAGTCTAGGCAGTGGTATATTTGGTTGTATTAAGTACAATTTTTGAGTCGCTGTTCGATTAAGGCACAACAACAAAGGGATTACACATTCTGGATTTAATACTTGGATTATAATATGGATTACTCTGCAGCAGTCTCGGGTCAGATTGAAGTTCCAGGAAAGCGCCCACGCTCGGTGGTCTCCGAGGTAAGTGGTGATCTAGATATGACTACCTTTCTAGCAATCCTAACGAGTACGCCGACAACTAGTAAATACCTTGCTGATCTCACTGAAATGTATGAGTTAAGACCCAAGATATGGGTTCTGTCGTTTCGGCAGCTGGAAAAGAACGATGAAAACAAGTCTAAGAGAGACGATTTCTTAAGAGATAACCCAAATGTAATAACGGCAGAGAATGTAAACATTCAATTTCTTCCGCCGACAAAACCGCCGACGCGTATCAGCATAGAGGGCCTACCAGACGAAACAAAACGTCAATCAGTGATTGACGCATTAATTAATACGAAGTGCGGAAAGATCAAAAATGTAAACAAGCGGTTGCAAAAAGTCTAAGCGGTGCCGAACATGCGCAAAGGAGGGACATATTAGCTCACAAAGTGAAAGAATCCCAACAGTCGCTCAGGTCATGGCTCTTAAAACCGCAGTTGTAAGTAAACCGACAACGCAAACCAAACAAAACCAACCTGAAGGGGAAGACACCCCCAACAAAACACCGAAATCGGCTACCTCACCAACCAAAAGCAATACGACAGATCTCGAAAAAACCACCACTTCGCAAGGCAGTGGCGAGTCGGAAGAGATTGATGTGGAAAGTAAGGAGACCAAAGACTGGTCCCTTAGTCCCGACAACAGCGAAGTATCTTTCCACCTGAATCCGCCACCTCCCCCGCCCGAACCGCGAAGACCAAAATTAAAATTGACTTCCACTATAGGAAATACGCCCTTCCAACCCCCAAAGGTAGTAAGTCACTACACTAAAATCATTCAGGAATATAACCCCCATGGCAACTCGTACGATTCAGTTTTTTCAGACTCACCCCAAGTCTCCTCTGCTCCAGCCTGTCTGAGCACAGAACTCACGGAAATCAGCAAGGACCCCATAACATCTCAACAGCACCACCTAGTGAGTCCAATCAATAAAAGGGACAGGAGCCAGACAAGTTCTTCTTCCGTATCCGCATCTTCCTCCGCCTCTCTGACGCAGAAACCAGCGGCTAAAAAAAGCAAGCAACCAAGCTTGGCCCGAGAAACTACAGATCTGCCTCCCCTACGATAAACTACTCAGACCTTCAGTAATAAAACCACCATGAAAATAATTTCCATAAATGTGGCGGGCATAATGAAACACCTCAGTAAGCTGGAGTTTACAATAAAGAAACATAAACCAGACATCATACTGATACAGGAGTTACACAAATACCATAGAACCAGATTCCACTCATGGTGCTCACAAATGCGATATAAGCCCTTTATTGACTCGATAGACCACACCGAAACCGGAGAACGCTTTTTTGCAGCGGGAACAGCCACTCTTGTAACAACCGTTGTGGCCGAATCGGTAGAAAACTACAAATCCTTAATAAAACACAGAGCCTCCGTATTAGAAATAAAATTTCGTCAGGACATACTAAAGATAGTAAATGTCTATGGACCGCCCCACAAAGGCAGTGAGGAACAAACGACCTTTTACAATAAGCTGACATCCCTATTAATCCAAGAATATCCGAACCATGACAGCCTAGTGGTTGCAGGAGACTTTAATGCAATAACGGACCATTTAGACGCTCTCCACAAAACCCAATCAGGCCTGAAAAAGGGGGAAAAAATACTAAGGACCTACATAGAAAAATCAAATCTACTGGACCCCACCGTTTGAACCACCCAACTGGAAAAAATGTTCACGATTCACCGTAACCTCCAATCCCGCCGCATAGATAGGATATACATCTCAAACGACTTAGACCGTGTAGTAAAATCATGTAACTATCACACCAACATAGTTTCAGATCATACGTACTTCCCAGAAATTGAGTTGAGCCCATTCCACAAACCGAAATGGGGCACCGGCACCTGGCGAAATGATACGGAACATTTTAAAAACCCTGCATACAGAAACATGATTCAAATAGGTATGAAAATTTACTCTCGGAGTTGGAACATCACGACAACCTAAAGATATGGTGGGACCGTGTCAAGAACCAAATAAAAAAAGAATCAATAGCTTTTGGCATCATACAATAGAAAAGGACAATAGCGGAACAATAACAAATAGAAAAAGAAATTATAGACCACATACACGGATCAGTCACCGTAGAGCCAATTGACCTGGATTTTAAGAAACAGTGCCTATTGTTTATCGAACACGAAAAAAGAGCCTACGAAAAAATTTGTAGCTAATCAAAAAGAAGTCGAAAAAGACGAAAGACCTACTAAGTTCTTCTATGACATGATAACACAACGGGAAAAGAAATCGTCCATCACAAAAATTAAAACAGTAGGAAATGATATAGTAAATGATAAATCAGAAATAATGACCTCAATTTTTTCATATTATAATGAACTGTGGGGTACCAGATCAATAACAAACAGCACATTACAACTCCAGTATCAAGATCTAATGTCCAATCCAGCACTCTCTAGTGGCGAGGCCTCAGATCTGGAAGTCCCCGCATCTGAATCTGAAATACACAACATCATACGGAGCATGGAAAATAACAAATCACCAGGATTAGATGGACTCGGCAAAGAATTTTATCTTACATTTTGGCCGCAGATTAAAAAGCAATTAACACAAATTATTAACAACGCATTATTATTTGGAACTATGCCGGAGAGCTGGAAAATTGCCAGAGTAATTTTAATATACAAGAAAGGAGATGCAGAAAATTTAGCAAACTGGAGGCCCATTTCTAATTTAAATGTGGATTACAAGATCTTGACTAAGCTTTTGGCAAATAGACTTAAAATAAAATATTAAAATATTATTCATCAGCAAACTTGAACCCATTTCTGCTATCGAGATGGTCGAAGTCAAGTTATTTTTGTTCTTTCCTTCCAAAACATCAGATCCCAAACGTGTTTTCGGCCCGAACCCCGTTTTTAGTGTAAAGCAATGACGTGGCAAATTGTACCTCGGCTTTTGTAAAACTCTCCGCCGATGATACATATAAAAAAAACTCAATTTCTGCTGATGTACTTACTCAACTTTTCCAGCCAAGTTATACGTAATTTCCAAAATACCTGAGAAAGGATGAATTCCAACAAATAAACAAATATTCACCCACCATCAATTTAACAATGAATGGCCCCAAATTGAAGAAGATTCATGACTTTGCCAAATATTTTGCGTTATCGATACTAAACTGGAATGTGATAACCGCCTTGAATTACATGTTTTTACTTGTGCACTTTCACTTGTTTCATTCCCAGATATGCAAATCTTTTGAATAATATGTATCTGCATGCTAACCCATTTGGTCCCGGACCTTTCTGTGATCTGCATAAATGTATGCAATACAAATACAGAAGGTGAATGAATTAGATAGCATAACTCAGAATAGCACCTTTCACCACGAAACAGTAATTTCAACTATCCCAAATTAAAAAAAAAAAAAAAACAGACAAGATATGATATATATAATGAACGAACAAGAGTGGACGTGTTGATGAAATTGGTACTGAGCCGGAACCTATAACCGATATTCGATTTTGGGAAAGATACCGAAGAAATTGTATAAAAAAATTCGTCAGTTTTTTTCAAGTAGATGTCTGATAAAAGCTCTTGCTTTCGTGAATTTGCGTCCAGGGAATGCCCCAATAATGTTGTTGTCATGTATTTTTCAGTTGCCAACAATATATTTAATAGTTGAAGCGATATAGCCAGGTTATAGTACAAAATCCGTCTTGTTGTATGTACATTTGCCAAAAACGAGGAAATCGAAGATGTGTCGTAATTCACTTTATTTAGCGGTTATCACCTTTGTGACGCTTTCCGAATTCGAGGAAAAAATGCTGGATAAAGCGTATATATGCGTTCTATACTCCATCACCATTGTAATGCTGGAAAACATCAAGCTTCGACCTCAAAACTACTTTTGGTGCGAGTAGACAAGCACAAATTTGTTCAAAAGTTACGCTATTCGGTGACGCGACGTTGCATAGCGTTTCGAGCGCGTCCGCTCTTGGACTCGCGAGGTCCTTAAACATAGCGCGTCTGGTGACGACGAGTTACATTTTAATCGACATAACCTGGTCAGAACAATCGTATCGCAACATGTCTACTGCCGCAAAGAAAACCGTTCAGAAGCGGGCGCCTGCAGCGCATCCATCCTACAAGGAAATGGCAATGGCCGCCGTGAAAGCTACTCACACTAAAAATGGATCCTCGCGAGCCGCCATAAAGAAATACGTCGAAGCAAATTACAGCGTGAAATCAGATCAGGCGAAAATCCACCTTAAGAGGGCCCTCAAAAGTCTGGTCGACGAAGGCGCGCTTAAAACGGATTTGCCAAAAGCACCCAGAAGCTACAGACTTACCAAAAAGGAACCGCCAAAGAAAAATAAGACTGCGTCGGCACAGAAGACATAACCTGGTCAGAACAATAGTGAAGAGGTCGGAGGTGGGTACCTCTGAAGAGCGTCAACCGAGATTTTTTTTTATTTTTTTTATTTTTTTTTATTTTTTATTTTTTATTTCGGATCAGATTATAATATACGGGATCGGGGATAAACCGTCATTTCCTGTATCCCATTCGGAGCTTGGTCAGTTATAGACCGTATCACATAATGGCAATAGATGACTATTGCCGTTCTCATTGATGGCTCCTATTTCGTCATTTCCGTTTTAGATGGTTTTTCAATTTTTAGCATAAAATCAGTAAATTAATCATTTTTTTTTTTAATTAGTTTGTAGCAACACTTTTTTGGGCCAACCAATTTTCAATTTTCTCTATCTGTTTTATTTCTTCGCTGAGTGATTCTATGTTTTTTACTCTCCAGCCCATTTTATTAAAAGTTTTCGAAACTATGCCATCTTCTATCCTTTTACTTTCTTCGGGATTCATTTTTGTGTTTGTTATGTCCTTCATTGATTTGACCTTGTATATTTGAGATTTTACTATATTTACTGTTATTAATATTATTTTTCGGTTTTCTTTTAAGTAGATATTATGCCAAAGTAGTTCATTTAAAAAGAGGTGATGTGTTTGCAGAGCCTGATTCAGAGATTTTTGTATTTTATACAAAATCCGCCACGTGAAAGGACATTCTTTAATAAGGTGTTCCGTGTTGTCTTCCGATTTCGAGCAGAATTTACACTCCGTGATAGCCATTTTCCCGCTTACTGTATGATATAAATTGAGTCTTTTTCTTTGTGTTCCATTTAGTATTGCATTGTGCGCCAGCCTGTATGATATAACCCTTTCCTTGTTTGTTATTATTTTTTTCATGTCTTTTTCTTTACTTAGAATCTCTTTCCAATTGGTGCATGTTTGTGTTTCTACCTGTTTTCTTCTTACCGATTGGTTTGATTTCAAGATCGTCTGGTAAATTTGTTTGAAAGAAATGTCTGTCCATTTTTCTTCTTTTATGCCTATTTTTTCGGTTAACTGAATGCAATCTTCCCAGTGCTTTGGGGTTTCGAGGGTATGGGGCATCTGGTTCGTGTAAAGTTTGGGATTTATTTTCTTTATCTTCGTGCCAATGTCATAAAGGGCTATTGCGTGCCATATCTCTTTAGGTTCTGTTATTGCTTTCAATGTTTTTATTTTTTCCAGAAGACATGCCTGTATTTTTGTTTTTATGCATGGGGCATTTAATCCTCCATTGTAGTAATCGGCTGTTAATTTATTTTGTGCCAATAGCTGAAAGCTTTCTGGGTGCCAGATGAAGTCGAAGAAAAGTGTGTTCAGTTTCCGTATGTAGATTGGTGGTACATTCACTACTCTAGCGTGGTATATTATTACCTGCGATATACACAAGGCATTTAAAATTTGGAATTTACCTATCCACGTCAATTGTCTCTGCTTATTAACTTCCAGGGTGTTCCTAAGTCTTTTGAGGATTTCATCCCAAGTTTTTTCCGTCTGTTGGGGTCCTATAATTTGGCCTAAAACTTTTATATTTGGTTTCATGAATTTGTTGTACGGCGAGGTTTTAAGTTTTTGCATTGCGATTTGGTTAGTACATAATATTTCAGTTTTTTTCTCATTTATTTTTTGTCCCGTTATTAATTCGTAAGTCTTAAATTCGTTGAAGGTGTGTTCTATCGATTCAATGTCTCGCGCGTATGTTGTATTGTCGTCTGCAAATTGATCAATTACGGTTTTGTATTTTCCGATGCTGAATCCTTTTATCTTTTGGTTCGCGATGATTTTTCTTGCCAATGGGTCAGCGGCTAAGGTGTACATTGCCATGCTCAATGGACAGCCTTGTCTGATTCCTCTTGTCAGAAAGATTTTATTGGTTTTAGCTCCGTTAATTTGTATTCTGCTGTATATCCGATTGTACATTTCTTTGATTAAGTTAATGATATTTTTGTTGAAGTTTAGTTTGGTCATGGTTTTGAATAAAAAACGTTGGTTAACCATATCAAAAGCTTTTTCCTGATCGAAACTGATTATATATAAAGGTAGGTTCCATTTTGTTGTATAATTCCATATTCCTTGAACGTTTCGTAAATTATCAAATATAGATCGTTTAGGAATTGCGCTTTTCTGTGTTGGCATTATATATTTATCCAAGATAGGTTTCAATCGGTTAGCTAATATTTTTGATATCAGTTTAAAATCTACATTTAGGTTAGATATGGGCCGGTAGTTAGATAGGTGATTTGAATTTCCTTTTTTATAGATAAGGGTGACTATCGATTCTTTGCTACTGGTGGGTAAGGTGCCGAAAGCGATAGCATTGTTTACTAGCTGGTGCAAGTCATTCTTCAAAATTTCCCAAAATTCAACGTAAAATTCCTTTGATAGTCCGTCTGGTCCCGGTGTTTTATAGTTATCCATTTGTTTTATCTCAACCGAGATTTTGTTTTAGTTGATGACACTGGTTAAAACGTCGCGCTCAGAGTGCTTGGAAGTATACTTCGATGCACTAAGCTAGCGCTTAAGGTGAAAGAATAAAGGAAGATGAGCTATTCAGCAGCTGTGTCCTCGACTCCTGTCAGGGAAGAACCCACCGTAGAGACAAGGAACGCAAGACCAAGATCACTGTTTCTAAAGACCGAACTGGACTTAGACTTCCCTGCATTAATGGAGATACTACGAAATGATAATAACACCACGGAGTACGTCAGATATATAAAGGGACTATACGAAAGCCGAAAAGGCACCTGGATTATAACCTTTGCTGCCACAAAAGACCAAAACTCAAGCTGCAGAGAAGAGTTTCTGAATGCCACCAATGGGAAAATATCAACCAATGATGCACTGATCTCTGTTACTCTGCCTAGCGGAGCTCCAGTAAGAATATCCATCAAAGAAATACCTGAAGAGGCATCATATCCAAAAGTTGCCGCATTAATCCACCAACTGGGTTGTGGCAAAGTAAGGAATGCAGTCAGAAACTGGCACAGGGGTACAGATGTGTATAACGGCTTTACGTCGTTTTTGATCGATGACTTTAAGAAAGAACGTCTACCCGACTTTTTAACCATCAATGGGATTAGATGTAAGACCTATCTCCCCCGTGAAATGTACATCCCCACATGTGGACGATGTCTTGAAACAGGACATACTTTTATAAATTGCGAAAAAGAAGCAGTATGTCGATATTGTAAAGAACCAGGTCATATTAAGAAAGATTGTCAACAAAGAAAAATGGACTATCCAACCCCTGTAAACCCCATTCAAGCTTGGGCCATACCAAAACGAAGACCGCAAACAAACAACTCTACACAGTCACCTCGTAAAACCATGGAAGATAAAAAACAAAACAAAGATCAAATTACACCTAATCAGGAAACGCAATCAACGGAATTAACTACGCCGACCAAAACAAAACGGAATAAAACTCAAACGGAAGAGAACCGCCCTGCACCTATCGAGATATCCGAGTTCTCCTCGGCTGAGATGGATTCGACATCAAGCCAACAGCTCAGAGAACTGTCTGATTGGTCGCTATGTGAAGAGTGTCATAACGCAATCATCCCGATGGTTTCGCCAACGGACCAGCCCAAACCAGTCAAAACCAGACAGGCTGCAAGGCTAAAACAGGGGTCGACCATCGGAAATACTCCTTTTCATCCGCCACCAAAGGGTCGAGCTCTCGTGAAGGTGATGGTGCATAACTTTGAAAGACAGGACTCAACATCATCCACATTCAGCGCATATCCACAAGAAGTAATGTCAGCACCAGCAGACTTGGGGAATGAGACAGCACAGCCAAACTCAAATAACTCAGATACTGGAGATGTAGAATACAATTATAAAAGGAACAGAAATGATACTTCATCAGAGACGTCAACGTCCGAAAAACAGGAGAAGAAAAAAGGACAACGTACGTGAGTTGAATCATTTTTCATATAATTTGGATCTAACTTGTCTACTGGCGCAATCTCTAAAAATCGTAAAATAATAGTTCTGGATAATATGCAATTTCACCACATCTTGTAGCTTTGACTATTCGGTCCCATACATAAATCAACATGGCTAAGCTAAAAATTGTTTCCATGAATGCAAATGGGGTGCAGTGTCATTTAAATGAATTGGACAACTTTATAAAATTAGAGATGCCCAGTGTGTTATGTATACAAGAGGCTCACAAGCTGGATAAAACATACATAACGCAATGGGCAAACGATTGCGGTTATAGTATATTCTATAATACTCTAGATAAGGTCGAGGTATACCATACCACCTTCAAGCATGGAACACTGATAATGGTAAAGGATGTCGACATGACACAACCGGCAACTTACACCACGCACATAGAGCTTCGATGCGACAGTGTTGAAATATCGGTAGATAATCGAATTGTCGGAGTCATAAATGTATATGCGCCCGCACAAAGCGGATCGCAAAAAACTGAATTTTTCAAACAATTAATCGGGGTGTTGGAACACTGTTGCGATCTCAACCAACTGATCGTTGTTGGCGATTTCAATATGGTGCTCGAATCTGATGACGTCACGAACACAAAAAACTTTAAGATGCGGCCGCCCGAAAAGCTATTCAAAAACTTTATCCAATGCAACAACCTCAGGGATACCTATAGAAACAGATACCCAAAGAAGCGAATTTTTACTTTCTATTTCCATGAGAATGGTCGGAGAATAGATCGGATTTATAATTCAACAAACTTGGACAGCGCCATCTCCGCAATAACCCACCTACCCAACACCGTATCGGACCATCTTTTATGTCCGACAATAACGCTCGAACAGACGAGAAAACTTAGATGGGGGAGGGGATCATGGAGAAATAATACTACGCTATACCATAATCAGACGTTTAAAAACATTATAAAAAAAACATACCAAGCCGCGACCCTTGACCTAGAAAACTTCGGCACCCTACAAGAATGGTGGGATAATGTGAAACTTAGAATAAAAAAACAATCAATAGCATATTCAAAAAATTTGGCCCG